CCCCAAAACCCCAAAACCCCAAAACCCCAAAACCCCAAAACCCCTTTTAAAAACGATTATACTGAATGTAAGTTAAGTATCTCTATACTTTGACTGGGGAATGGGGAGCAAATTCATCAAAGAACTCGTTGTATGAGACTCTCCCATCCTTGTCTTTATCAAATCTATCCAAAAGGATGTCCATCTCCTCATTAGTGGGATCAAATCCGTATTTTTGGAAGATTTCCTTAAAATCTTTTCCTGTCACAAAATCATCTCCCCATTTATTCAGAGTGGAGAATGCAGAGTCGTATCTGAAGTAAGGGCTCTCTTCATGCTTTTGTCTTAATACTTCTGCATTCATTTCAACTTCGAGATGGAGTTCAAGCACTCTGGTGAAGGCATCAATGGTAGAATTGCTGAATTCATCTCTCCTTCTGTAATACCCACTTGGGAACTCTTCAGATCTTTCCTTTAGAATATCAGCGGTGCCCTGGTGAAGGGGTATGAATGCATCACAGAACTCATCAAAGGAGAGCTTATTGTTCTTGTTAACATCATATCTAGCCAAGAAGAGCCTAGCTTCTTCGACATCTGGGTTGATCTTGAAGAGATTAAAGGCATCAAGAATGTCATCAAGGTCAGCTTCCCCTCTATCTCTTCAGTCAAATACTCTGAATCCATCATGGAGTGTGAAATCGGTCTTGAGAGCAAGTGCTTGTTTTGCCCTCTCAAGTTCCTTGTCTAGGGTAACCAAGTCTCTGAGAGACTCTACAAATTGGTCCTCTTCTGACGATCTGAGCGTATGAGCAGTCCTAATAGTCTTTTTGGAAGATGAATTTCTGATATCCTTGATCGCTGTTTTCCTCTCTTCACCAAGTTCTTCAGCTACATCAAACTCGTCCCTGAGATTTTTCTTGGTCGAGGTATATCCTCCACGAGTCAGGGACCTTCTCTCAGGTGATCTTACCACCTTGGTCCTGGCAACGTCATGGAAGGAGTATCTCCAAGGATTACTAGTAGTCAGTCTCTTGCGATTTGATGATCTTGGGTTTTTAATAATACTATGAGAAAGAGTCCTAAAATTAGTTCTGGTTTTACGATTGATAGGCTCATCAACTCTTTCAAGGCTGTCCTCATCCTCGATATTGTCAAGTTTGCTCCTACTGCGAGAAGATCTTCTGATGTAAGTCCTTCTACTCTCGGTTGGAGCAAGAGTGGAGTATCTGTAAGCTCCATCTTCATAGGGGTCATAAACCAAATCTCCATTATGATACTTGGAGTTTCTTAAATAAGTTCTATAAGAACTATTCAAATGCTTCCAAGACAGACGCCCTGGCTCATAATAGCTGGAGTATTCCTCAGGAAACCTGTATTTGTTTGGTTGATTGAGAAGAGTACGATGCCTCGAATGAGTGTATCTTGATCCTCTATCATCATAAGAAGAGTATAGATCTCTCCATGACACTCTCTCTGTTGGAGATTTACGAATTGTTGAAGATCTTCCAAATGAAGTTGCGAACTTTCTTATAACTGGATTCACTTGAGTTCTTTCGGCAACATCAATAAATTCTTGGTAACTAATTTGTTCATCCTCATCTGTATCACATCTTCTGATGATAGCATCGAGATCATCCTCGGAGAGGATGGTGTAGTACTCTCCAACAAAATCTCTGATTTCATTCCTATCAAGAGAGTTGTAAGGATGAGCTTTATCAATTGCATCGAAGCACCTTTTTGTGGAGAAATCTGACCTTTGGTTTAACTCGATCTTAATATCCTCAATAGCTCTTTGATACTCAATTTCTGCTCTAAAAAGATTAGCTAGAGCATTCTCAACAGGAACTGAAAGATAGGCAGATTTAATAAATCTGTATTCTGCTTCTCTGCTCTTAGCAATAGCTCTTAGATGGTCATTAGTCGAAGGTAATATTAGCTGACAGAATTCAATATAACTTAGTCTGCCATTTCCGTTCTCATCATATTGGTCGATCAGCCTGGCTGCTTCAGAAAGTGTTCATTTAATAGCATTATCATCACAGAAGAGTTTAATATCTTCAGCTTCGATTTCTCCAGAATTTTCCAAGTCTATTCTATTGAATCCAACAATTGATTCAAAACTGTATTGCTCAGCAAGGTCAAGCCTGCCATTTTCTACCTATAAGATATTGTCAAAGTATACTTACATTCAGCTCGTGTTCTGCAATATTAAGGAACAATTCAGCTAAGATTTTCCTGGTTTCATTGGATATACTCATTTTATTTACTTAAAATAAAAATTTATTCCAATTTTGAACTTTTAGAAAGGGGTTTTGGGGTTTTGGGGTTTTGGGGTTTTGGGG